TCACACAAACACACTCCCAATACCGCCACAAAAATTATTAAACAGCCAAATCGGAATTTTAGTCTACGATGTTTTGAAAAAGTTTACTTAAATGGACGACCACACGAATATAAAATTCTCCATATTGAAAATGGTGGAAGAGTGAATCAAAAAGTACTGCAATATTGTTTTTAATAAGTCTTTTAAAACGCCACAAAAAGTATTTCTGACTCAAGAGTGTAAAAAAATATTATATACGCGATTTATTAGTTCCAGGTGGAGGAAAAAAGGAGAAATTGGAGATACTGATACAAGTAATTGAAGTTCTTTGCAACATGCCCAAATTACTTGAGGTTGAAGATGGTAAAAAAAACATATTTTTCTCACTAATTTTAGAAGTTTTAAGAAGAGTTAAAAAGTTGGATGAGATTAAAGTTTAAAAAAATATTTCATGAATTCATAAAAACTCAAAATTACTTAAGAATGAATATGTTCATAGTATATTTTTACGACGTCTCTTGCCTATGGTGGTAGACAAATTATTTTCCTTGTGCTTATATTGCTTTCATCTTTCTTGTTCTTCTTGATCATCAAATATCCTTTTTTTTACTTTTCTATTCTTTCTTACTTAATATTTCTTCTTATCTTTTTCTCAGCATTTCATTTTTTATTTTCCTATTCTTCTTTTCCAATTCTTTCTAAATATTTGTGTCTTATTCTTCCTTCACTCATTTAATCCTATCCTTACCGTAGAAACTGCATATAGGACAAAACAGATGACTTTAAGAGCTCCACAGACTAGGAAGGAAGAGGTACAAGGAAGAGGGAGGGAGTTGCTCAGTACAGCGAGCCAGCCAGGTACCATGAACGATTACCTGCACTAACGAGGAAGCTATAAACGTGGATCTGCACAGGTGAAATATGACTCTACCATGACAGGTTTGTAGGGGGAACTCAGCCGGCCGTGTCGACCTCTGTTAACCCTGTGATTTGCCGTGCCCGGGATGAGAGAGACACGGATGGGGGTGACACGGGGAGAGAGGAGGGCAAGACGCGGGCAAGAGTGGTGACATGGAATATAGGTGGCACGGGCGGTGGAGAGTATAGGAGAGGTGGCACGGGCGGTGGAGAGGCCAGACAAGACGCGACACGGCCACTAGGACAAAGCAACACGGGTAAGACGACAAACACAAAATCACACCTTAACACAAGGATAACAAACTCATTGATGCCGAGTCACCGACAACACAACCGTAAATCTCTTGAGGTGTACAATAAGATAATCCATATGTAAATCTACCTATCAAATCTCTCTTTCGACAACCCAACTGTTAACATACCAATCATTCCTATAATAGTATTTACCACTCGACAATCCATCCACCAGCAAGAGATTGATTATGCTTTTATTATCATTATCATGTATTTCGTGCACACATGTTGTCACCCATGGTAATATCAGAGTTTGACCCGAGTCTGCCGTCGTTTTCTATAAAGTCTTCACCTTCTCTGTTATCCGTTTCTTTAAGGGCCGAGTCATCAAGAAATATACACCGTTCTCTATTATTATTGTTCACTAAAGAGTATAATAACAGTTCACTTATACTCCAAATACTCCCCATAGCCCAGTGGATCTGCGTGCCATGATACATCAAGGTGAAGCCAGGGATCCCACATGAGATTGTAAGTCAACAAAACCTAAAATTCGCTTTTATAATAGAGATACTGTTGGACACCCCAGCTGCACGAGCGGGACGTAAATATCCTGAGCTTGTGGCGCTTGAATGGGGCAGGTTTTAGAGTACCTTGAGCGAACAGGTAAGGCAGGTAGGGGCGTGGCTTCAGGTGTTCCCCGTGACAATAACTCGCCAGGTAATTGTGGGGTCGACTGGTTGATTCTGCGGGAAGTGTGAGAGGGGTTCACGAGAGAGAGAGAGAGAGAGAGAGAGAGAGAGAGAGAGAGAGAGAGAGAGAGGTGGGGCGGGCGGGAGGGGGGGGGGAGAGTACCTGACCAGCCACATCAGGAATTACGATTTTCTGCTCTAGTGCCCGACCAAGACTTGCTCTCACTTGATTACGACCCTACATATTAGCCAAGAGCCGCTCTCACCTGGTCTGCTCTAAGTGGTCGCCTACGCTCAAGACCCTTCCCCCACCTGGCTCGGTCAATCTATACTTTACCAACATTAACCTGCCATAACCAGCGTACCTTAAGTATGTTACCTCATTACTCAAGCCTTAATACGCAAATTAAACATTCCCTCGACTCTCACCACATAACCTCTCATTAGGGTTCAAATCAATTACGGTTCAGCAAGAATCTTAGAAAACAAAATTCACAAAACAGAGAATCTAATTGTACGTCTTATAACTTGATGGTCCAGTTATTATTTTATGGGTTTCACTATTTTGTTTATTCTTCACATAAAAGTACAGTAAATATCAGGTTCCTTCATCAGAGCCCCGAGAGCCCAGGCACTCAAAGGGCTTAGCCATGCCAATACTGTTCTTGTTGTTCACTTTGTACATTATTACTCTGGCGAATAAACTGTTACACTTTCGGTTTCAAAACCAGTAACTAAGTCAGTTTATTTTATTATCAACAACTGTATCGCAAAGAAAGATAAACTACAAATTTCTCACATAATTAGGAACAAAACTATTACACACTGCCCACAAACACACCTGCTACCTCACGTATAACAAGAATAATCAACATATACACGAGTCCAAGCAATAAAGAAAACGGATTATGATAATCAGGGCGCACTTCTACAAACTGTAACAATTTATCAGGTGGTGTTCGTTTACCTCAACAGCTCACGCTACACCAACAAATTCACTCCCACGTCTCATAATGAATCCCTTCCACTCGGTTAAGTAGAAGAGACTAATGAATAATACTGCCATGTGTTATTCCCTGACTCGTATATCCACGTTTAATTAAGCAGCTCACCGGGAAGTCGAGGTTATCTTAGTACATCAGTGGAGGTGAGAAACAAACAGCTTGATGTATCGTCCCTTTAGGCCACAAGCATTGCCCCACCCCCCCCACCTTGCTTCACCTCGGCATTTCCTCTCCGCTGGTCATCTCGGGGTACAGAAAACGAATGACTGTGTGCCCACTCACGGGGCTCTAAAATCATTTCAGAGAACTTTCGGTGTCGTCACTCTGGTGTGGGTGGTTCCCAGCATGCAAGTCCACCCTATTCCCTAAAATACCCCATGACGGAAACGGTAATATTTAAACCAATTAATAATGGAATTTAAACACACAAAGTAAGGATTCACAAGCGGGGAAGGCTCGGTATTTCCTGCCGGACAAAAGGTGCCGCGAAAGGTTAATTTGATTGTCTAGAGTGTGGGGCTAGCGAGGCCCTTCTCACCCCTCAACCGTCCAGGTACACCTCGGGGGATAAAACACACACCCCCGCCCCCCTCTAGCGCTAGTAAAGAATATGGTTCAAAAGGAGACAAGTTGCAGATCTGACGTGGTGAGCCCCGAGAAAAATAAGCGACATGTGTTAGGTGGTTCTGGGGTGCACGGTCAGCTGGGTCCACTGGGAAGTCTTATAAGGTCAAGTTAGGTGTTCTGGGAGCTCAGTAGTTCACCTGTCTCACGTAATCTCATAACAATTAGGTAAAGCTCCTCATTTGCAGCACAGCTCTCTGATTACAACACTCCATTCGTGAAACCCCACCGCAAAAAAAAAAAAATAATAAGAATGAGAAAAAAAAATGTAGCAAGTCAAGTTCCTGTTTACCTTTTAAGAACCTCTCTCGCCATTGTTATTGTGGAGGTGTTCACGAGAATGCTGGCGACCTCACGTCCCTCGCCACACCTTTCCCTCTACCACACCCCAACATTACCTACTCTGGACAAGTGTATATCAAACGATAATTAGAGACAGACAGACAAAGCGAGGTAAGAAAAACTCTCAAGTAACCGGGTCTCCACATTGCGACACGACCTAGTTCCATATTAGGTAAGACAATGACCAACTACTTTGAGCATAACGGTGGCACTTGCCTTCAGTAAAAACATGATATCCTCAGGCAGGTAACTAGTGCTCTTCTCATTTGATATTTATAAAGGTCTAACACAACTTCACATCGGAAATGACTAGCCTACATATAGACCTCCGTTACGGGATATAAAAGAATAATCATACAATACTATATTATACATGAAATTGAACGAATCATTCCTAGATAATCATGAATACAGCGTTTGTTTGTATATGCTCTACCACTCTACTAACGACCTAGCTGAATCACTCGTATGATTGGCTACGATATCTTTCTTATAAACATTTAACACTGAACCCTGGCGACGGACAAGATCACCACCATGCATGACCTGTACAATAACACGGTGATCAATATACATCATGAAGGGTTCCTCTTACCTCTCACCACCCTTCATCACTTAAGCAGAACAGATCAAGGTAAACACCACCAGGTTATAAATGAACAAAGATATATACTCACTCCCTGTACCAAGAACTATACATAACAGTTAGACGCCGATGTTCACGAGACACCAAACGAGAGAGCACGATGCATTATTTTGGTTTCTTTTAATTTATTATTTTGTCTAAACTTTATTGATTAATTGATCTGCCTGGAGCGTTGGACTGAGCAGATCGCTGGCCGAGTAATACATTTTGTCATTTTGTGTATTAAAAAAGTTGCCGAACCAGTCACCCCTCCAAGGCAAAGTCAGCAATAACACGCAATGATTACAGTGATTCAAAACGGTGTTATGTTAATGGCAGTGATTCAAAGTGGTATTATCTTACATCAACACGCATCAGGGTTACAAGAACACTCCCGTACAAGAAGGAGGTTTTAGTGTGCAGCAACACACGCCATTCAGATTGGTAACACCTGAAGCCCTGACACAAGACCAGCGAGGGGAGATTCGAGTGTTGGGCCCGACGCTGCCGTGTAATCAGTGCAACTAGTGAAGGACACAGTGACAGGCAGAGTAAACCTTCTCCACACACTGCTACACATTAATGCTTCCTCACACACCATTTGTGGCCTCTCGTGGTGGCCTCGCCTGGCTGCCCATCGGAAGTACAGGTAATAAAATCGCAGTTTATGCCTGCTGGGTTCTGATTGCAGTTTCTTCATTCATACTCACTTTTTTTTTATCCTTAAATCGTGATACAGATCGACAACGACAGATTACAGCATATTTTTTTAACATGCAATATTCAAAGTCTTAAATTGTTTAACCTTACAGCAAACATACATCCACCCAGGCTTTATGTCCCACAAGATTCACCAGGAATCTTTTAAACATTAGTCTACCAGAGTTGATCAACCAATACCCATTATTACCAGAGAATCTATCAAACAACTCCACCTGGGATTACAAATACCAGGCGGTAAATAACCCAGCGACTTACAATCCACCTACACTGAGTATAGAGTCGTGTGACGCGGAATATGTGGAGGAAGATGTGAGTAATAGTAATCTGGCCTCCACAACCCGTCCTCCACCTCGTCTGGCCTCCACAACCCGTCCTCCACCTCGTCTGGCCTCCACAACCCGTCCTCCACCTCGTCTGGCCTCCACAACCCGTCCTCCACCTCGTCTGGCCTCCACAACCCGTCCTCCACCTCGTCTGGCCTCCACAACCCGTTCTCCACCTCGTCTGGCCTCCACAACCCGTCCTCCAGCTCGTCTTAAGCCTCCATAGTCTGACTCTTACAAGACCCTTCATGACATTATCTTGCCCTGTGATCTAGGCGCCTCACACAGTGCACAAAGCTACACATTCATCACCTCACCTCCCCGGCTCACCTCACCTCCCCGGCTCACCTCACCTCCCCGGCTCACCTCACCTCCCCGGCACCACTGTAGCTCCCTCAACAAACCTCACCACCTCAAAAAATCATACAGTAAGCCCTGCAGTCCATACCAACAGCTGTATACTTCACTATATCCGCGAAAAAAAATATTAATTAAACTCACATTAATTCTATTACGTTAATGATGGCTACAATTATTATCATTTAGATAGTAATGGCCTATGGAAACAGTAATAATGCATTTTAATTGACCAGTTTAATAAAGCATTCCTAATTTACTAGTTTACTAATGAATTTTGATTTAGCACTGTTTAATAAAGATAATAATAATAATACATCTTCGGACGTTAGACTTCAAAAGGCATTATTGAGATATTATAGCCGATGCTGACAGGAATAAACCCGTAAGAGGAGTCAGTCCAGCCTAACATAAGTCTGGGGATTAAATCAAACCCAGTGTGGTCTCTTCCTCCTAATGCAGAGAATGACAAGGCAGCAAAACTGATGCCAGCATTTTATCCCACCTTACGAAACATGAGTCTGACGTTGAAGGTTTAAAGCTCTCTCTCACGCACGCAAACGCACACGCGCACGCACACGTCCATCATGATACAAGGCCATAATCTGGTCTAGAATAAGGAGGCCATGTAACTTAGTTCAAGGTGTAGATGTACCGCCCGTGCTGTAAATGCATTCTGGTTTAATGCTCGACTTAGTGTAAGTTGTAAATGGGAATCCAGTGTAGTGTGTAAGGGTAGTTGAGGTGTAAATATGTTGTATGTACTGTAAATATATCCCGCTGATGACCTAACCTAACGCAGGGTGTAAATGAAGCCTTGTACAGGGTGTAAATGAAGCCTCGTATAGGGTGTTAATGAAGCTTCGTACAGGGTGTAAATGAAGCCTTGTAATGGATGTAAATGAAGCCTTGTACAGGGTGTAAATGAAGCCTCGTATAGGGTGTAAATGAAGCCTTGTACTGGGTGTAAATGAAGCCTTATAAAGTGTTCAAGTATCATAATCTAAGGACCTAGACGTAGCCTCCTGCAATGGTTTAGTGAACGAAGCTCAAGACAGATTAGATTCCAACGTATCATAATGCAAGATGTTGACGCAGGATTATTGGGCAGTGTTGCTCTTGCTTAGAACACCCGCGGACCTGGACTGGGGGAGGGGGAAGGGGAGAGGGGAGAGGGGGGAGGGGGGAGGGGGGAGAGGGGGAGGGGGAGAGGGGAGGGGAGAGGGAGGGGGAAGGACTAGCCCCAGGGACAATAAATCATTCTGTGACACTTCAGCCCGTCACATTGGGTTGCAGTGCGCGTTTGAAACTAATCATATACCGACCGGGGACTGGGGGGAGGGGAGCTGAGGAGGCCACCAGGAATATTAAGCAGCATCGCCCCACACACACACACACACACACACACACACACACACACACACACACACAAGAAGGAAAATGGTGGATTAAGCAACTGCATATCAAGGGTAAACTAGACGAATTGTATAAGAGAGAACAAATGACAAGAAAAAAATCAAACTGCATAAAAGAAAATCACAAGAAAACGAATAAACTGGCAGAACTAAATGAGACAATTATCGAAATTATCGGTGATTATAACAATTAAGGTAACGGGAATCGAAGGGTGATAATTTAGTTTTAGTGTTTCTTGCTTAAACTTGCTCGTAACAAAGAGAAATATCTGGCCAAAATTATCTGGACATTAGACAGAGTTTCATATTCATTTTCCGTGAATGGTAATAACGTACCATGTTGAAAATTAAGTGTGAAATCGGCCAAAATCGGCGACGCTGTGGACATAAATCATTTAAATCGGTATACGACACGACACGACACCAACCAAACTTGTGATTCATACACTTATATATTCGTCTTGGATGCAGTATATTGTTGGGTGTACAGGAATACAATAATCCATAAACAGAGTAACGTTAACAAAGAGGCGGTAAAACAATAAAGCCAATTCTTCTTCTTCACTATTATTATTATTATTATTATTATTATTATTATTATTATTATTATTATTATTATTATTATTTGAGAACATTAATATTACATTAGACAAGATATGGATCATCAATGGTTGTCATACATAATGCTGGTCACCTGGGCGGCACCATCCATCACGGTGGGTCAGGTGAGGCCCCACCACCTGTGTCTCACCACCTGGGGAGCCCCAAGGTGCGCCCAGGTGGTGTCTCTCGGTCAGCCCCCCACAGATGGGGTCTCGTGAGGTGCCAATACTCACCACGACAAGTAGAACAACTCTAATTATCTTGCTTCAAGTTAGTCTAGTGAAGTATGTCGTGTGTGTGTGTGTGTGTGTGTGTGTGTGTGTGTGTGTGTGTGTGTGTGTGTACAAGGTGGTCATGTTAAAGATCTTAAGGTCCTCAACTGTATCAAGTTTCGTAACACTATAATGACACATATATAAAATTAATAATAAAACAATATCATTTTATTAATATTAATAGTAATACAAATCTACAACTACTACTACTATCAATAATAACAATAATAATAATAATAATAATAATAATAATAATAATAATAATAATAATAATAATAATAATATTTCAAAATAACAATACCAACATAACCTACACCACCACCACAAGCTAAAAATAACATCCGTACTCTACAATTTTCACCACATTATACGCACCACCTGCACTCAAGGGGCAAGAACCTCGCCTAACACCCACCATGCCCCAGGCCAGACACACACGGGTGACACAACCGGTCCTCACAGCCCTGGCGACCCTCAACACACGGCACCAACAAGCCCACACACACATCTAGTCAGGGTATCAACACGGAATCTAAACCACGTCGCGAGCATTACGTTATCGTGAGGTACTGTTCCTCCTTCCACCTGCGTGTGAGAGAGAGAGAGAGAGAGAGAGAGAGAGAGAGAGAGAGAGAGAGAGAGAGAGAGTAATAATATCACATAACATCAACACCCTTACTAACTATTAAACCACTTGTTGCAATGTAATCCTAAACGGCAAAAGATTACAAATGCTGCTGGTATATCTCTTAATCTGAAATACGTGAAAAAAAAAGTTAAATTGTCTAGTTACTGTTTGTTTAAAGGTAACTACCATTACTGTTATTATTACCTTTCTAGTTTCTATAATGTTTTTTGCTACTACTACTACTACTACCACTCTTCACTCGCTCCCCCCCCCCGTCAGCAACATCCTAGACTCTACTCTCCTCCTAAACAACACCTGTCTAACCTAATTCCAACCTAACCTCCCCCACTACTCCCTTTAAACAGCCTCTATGAATGATACAAAACCTTAGCACCAAAATAATAATCCTAATAAAGCCCTCTAGTCAGTACACGCCCCCACCCCCCATTAAGAAAAGGACAAACCCCTTCAACCCCCTTCTCCACCTCCCCCAGCAGACAAGATGAGCCACTACTAAGGCTACAGCGCGCACTTCCCTCGCCGCAGTAGGTGGATTCCAGGGTTCTTTCAGCCACGCGATGGTTAGCACCTACGCCGTTCTCTCCTAACACAGCCTGTCGTTGTTTCATTTACAGTCCCCCTTCAGTCTCCTTCATCAATATTCAGTCTCCTTCAACACCCCCATTCAGTCTCCTTCAACAGACCCCCTATCTGTCTCTTCAACACGCCCCCTTCAGTCTCCTTTCAACACCTCCTTCAGTCTCCTTCAACCTCTTCAGTCTCCTTTCAACACCTCCTTCAGTCTCCTTCAACACCCCCCCTCTTCAGTCTCCTTCAACACCCCTTCAGTCTCCATCATCTACCTCCTATCTCCAGCACTTCTCCACAACCTATTAACCATCTCCAACATCATTCTATCTATGTCGTCCCCACCTGCAACTCCTCCTCTCCCTCCATCATTTCACACACCCTTCACCCCCGCCAACACCCAACCACCTGCAACCAATGATCATATTAGGCTCAACCCACCCTGAAACTCGCGACTCTTGTCTTTTTCTGTGTGTGTGTGTGTGTGTGTGTGTGTGTGTGTGTGTGTGTGTGTATTTTTATTTTAGTTCCTCTTCCGAAAATCTTACACACACACACACATCCACCGTCGACCCAAGAGTTCAAGACCGTCGACAGTGGTCTTGGGGTCGGGATGACGGAGAGGTGGGTACTAGGGCAGGCCTCTCAGGAGCGTGGGGGCCCTCAATGCGTGTAAAGCTGGCGCTCTTGGGGTCCGGGGTCCCTGGAGTGCCCCAGAAGGACCCTATACGCCAGTCGACACCACCGCCGCCACAAAGGCCCCCCCCCACACACTCTCTCTCGTGCCAGCCTTTATGCCCGAACAAAACAAACCACAGCTCACTCCACACCACACTGCGACCGACCGTGGCTGTGTGGTTGGTCACGAGCTGGTTGAGAGGACAACGTGAGTATGGCTGTGGTTGGTATGGTCGTCCCTGTAGGGTTGGTAGTGGAGATGTTGATGCAGCTTTGTTGAAGAGTCGATTTTAAACAAGAAATGTTAACCATGGTTGTTTGAGGAGGTAATTAGCCTAATGTGTTAATGTACCACGGGCGTTACTATTGCATCTCTTAACTACAAAAATATAATCCAATTCTTTAGTTTCTATTATAAAAAATAAATAAACAGAGCGGCAGTCCGGCGGATACAGTGCCGTTCACCTGTACTAAGTGTCGCTGGTTCGATTCCCAGACCACCAATTGGGGAAATGAATGTTCACGAATACAGCGCCAGGAACACTGTATATCCTTATGTGTTCAATGTGCTGGCATCCATTTGTTTACATCGATCCATTACATGATCAGTCAACACACACACACACACACACACACACACACACACACACACACACACCGGTAAAAATATGCAAATGATTGT